AATAATAATAATAATAATAATAATAATAATAATAATAATAATATTTCCACACAAAATTTCTCTGTTAGCTCAGATTTAAATATCAGAAGCTCCCTTATACCAAATTAGGACATTTTAGTCCAGCCATCCAATAAAGTCCACCGTTCCACAGACTGGTAGACTTCAAGTCCCAGAATTCTCTGCCATAGCCCTTCTGGCTCGCTGGGGAATTCTGGGAGTTGGTCCACCCAACGTAAAGTGGCTGAGTTTGAGAAACACTGCTATAGAGAAAACAACCACAGATTTCCAGGGTTCCAGGGCAGACTTTTTCCAGGCCCCTCTAAAGTTGCTGAAACCGAACGGGCAGGGTCCGCAATTGCCACAGGGGCTTCCCACAATCCTTTGCCCCCTCCGTCCAGGCAGGGTTTCCTGGGAGTTGAAGTCCCAAATTCTGGAAGTGGCCAGCAGTCCTACAGAGGAGATACAGCAGCACCAGGAGGGTCTCTTTTAAAATTATTACTCTGATTACTCTTGGGGATACCTGAAGGCTGCAGAAGATGGAAGAGGGATGGGATCATATTCCCGGCAGTGCTGGGCGAGATCTTTTGTTTTACAGATGCACGGAGTCTCCCGGAGGCTCAGCAGAAACCTTTCTCCATGCTACAGATTTTGGGTGTTTTGCTGCCTAGTATTAGCCTCACAATCTCAGGTAGGCTCCAAAGGGGCTGGGCAGAGGCCCCGGATGCTATCCATCACCTAAGTCAGTGTTGTCCAAACTTCGCCACTTTAAGATGAGTGGACAAGTTTGGACAACACTGGCCTAAGATCGTGCCTCTTCTGCAATTCAGAATCCCTCGGTAGAGTCAGCCCGGGACAGTGCGCCTCTCCAGCCGCTGGATTAATGTGGAAGCCCATGGGATCTTGGACACGTGGATGACACATCCAGCGGGGCCTGCGCACATACATGCCCAGGGCGTGGTGGATTTGTTGTCCCAGGAAACTTTGACACGGCGCCCAATTAACACGCAAGGTGGAAACCTCTTTAATAGCTGTATTCTGTACAGAATAACAGCACTTGGAAATTGGCTTTCAAAGCAAGCATGGGGGGGGATTTGTCCTAAGGCACTGGGTTTTAAGCAGTTACAATCAGAAAATCATGACACCGTAAATGCACGCAATTTCATTGAATCATACAGTTAGAATAAAGTCAACATTAAGGTGGGTGTTGTTGTTAGAAAGAGAAATATGAACCCGTTGGTTTCTTATCTCTCTCAATTATCTCTTATATATGTCTTATACCTGCTGCATCTTATATATCTTATATCTGCCAGCCAGGGCAAGGGTTCCAGCCCTGGGGGAGGTTTCACTATTTACTTTCACTTCTCGCTCTGATAAGCCTTGTAAATTTCAAAGGGAAGGAATACGAGCAAGACCTGCAGCTGTAGCCTATTTTTCGACTTTGTTCTTAGCAACTAGTGAAGGTCAGTCCTGGGGCATGCCTAGCGTGTCTTTATTCTGAAATCCCCCATTCCATCAGATTGGGCTCCGCGGGCTGCCCCCCAGGGGAGTCTATCCCCAACTGCACCCTCCCCACAACGGCTGGGACGAGCCACCTGGATAGCGCTGCCACCAGCTGCTTCTGGCCTGGTTTACTTGGGAGGAGGCCAGCGGCACTTTGGCCAGAGGGGAAATGCGGGTGCCCGGACCAGGTGGGTGCGACCCATGCCCTGAGGATTTGGAAGGAAGCCTAAAGGCCCCAAAGGAGCGGGGAGAAAAGAAGAACAGGGAAGCTGATTTCATGCAGACGAGTCCCACAGACCACCGAATGAAATGAAATCTCATCTGGGTCCTGCTTTCACTGGTCCTTCACGTGCTTTATAGTTCCCTGGTAGGCCAGGTTGCTCTGGGCGCGTCTTCCTTAGCTTTCAGACAGCCATGAAGAGATGCTCAATTTTGTCTTCTCCCGCCCTGGATGGACACCTGAGCTCATGCTTCTTCTCCTCTGCAGTGTCTGAACCCCTTGGAAGGGCTTTCTGCCCCCCAGTTCATGGCGGCGCAGCATCAGCCAGCAGCCAAGAACAGATTGGAGGAACATCTGGAGAACCTCTGGGGAAGGTGCTATCCTCAGACTCAGTCTTTCCTTAAGATGGCCCCTTAACTCTCCCCAGCCGTCTTAACCTCGGGGTGAATTCTCACAGGATCATCAAGTTATGGAGTTGGAAGGGATCCTGAGGATCCTCTAGTCCAGTGTTGTCCAAACTTGGCCACTTTAAGATGAGTTGAAGTCCACTCATCTTAAAGTGGCCAAGTTTGGACAACACTGGTCTAGTCCAACCCTCTGCAGTGAGCAGGAAAATCAATTAAACTGGCTCTTCAGCCTCTTCTTAGAAACCTCCAGAGATGGAGAACCCACAATCTCCATAGAGAGGTTATTCCACTCTTGGAGAGATCTTACCATGCAGAGACTTTTTCCTTATATTTCAATTAAATCTAGGCAACTGCAGCTTACAGCTTTTATTTCTGGTCTTAGTTTCTGTGGCCATAGAAGAAAACTCTTGACCATGTTCCCTATAGCTATGTACCGGAACATGGCTATCGTGTCTCCCCTCGGTCTTTCATTCTTCAGGCTTGACCATCCCAAGTTCCTTCAGCCTGTCCTTGTGGGTCATGTCCTCAAGTCCCTTGTCATCTCCATCGCCTCCCTCTGGACCTTCTCTAACGTGTCAAGATCCTTCTGGAAATGTGGTGCCCAGAACTCTAAACAGGACTCCACCAGGATTCCCTGTGTACACCTGGTGAGACTACAGGTATAGTCCCACCAGTGCCACATAAGAGAGGATTAAGGACTTCATGTGCCTTTGATGTGACACTTCCTCTAACACAGCCCAGAATTACATTAGCTCTTTTAGCAGCTGCCTCACACTGCTGGCTCAAATTCAGCTTGTTGTCAGTGGCCACCCCCAAGTCCTTCTCACTTCCAAGCCAAGAACTTCCTCTGTTGTCTAGGGGCCCTTCGTTTTCCCCCATTGAAGGACATTGGGTTCCTCTGAGCCCTGTCTTCCAGCTTGCCCAGACTAGACTGCAACTCTTCCAAAAAGCTCCTAGCCAGGCACCTTTGCTGACCCAAAGGGAAGAAGTGTCTCAAAGACACCAATGACACTTCTAAGGTCTGCCCACTTATTCTGAGCTGAACTTGTGTGGGCACAAAATCTGTTCCAGGGAATAATTATTTGACTTTTAAAACAGCTCTCGCGGCTGAGAAGTGAGAAGTGAAGAGGATGAACATCTGTACACAAAAGCATCTGGTCGGTGACCTTCTTCTCCCTCCTCATCGCATCGCATCCTCCCCAGGCCCTTGCTTTTCCCCTGCAGTTACTCATTGCAACTTCTGCTTTTCAACCAAGCGAATGCAGTCTCGATTGCCCGGGTCCCTTCGTTTGCAGGATTGGCAGTGCTGGCAAAGGATTCTGGGAGATGTAGTCCAGCCCACCTGGATGGGGATCCATTTCGAAACTTCCCTGGCTGCACCCGTCATCTGCTGGTCCTCAAACTGCCGGAAGGACACGCCAGGCGAGGAGGGAACGGGTTGAAAGCGCCAAGAAAAGGGCACTGAGAAGTGAAGCACCTAACATCTCACTGGAAGGGGCGCAGATGAAAGGCAAGGCCAGAGGAACTGCACTGTAGCTTCGTTGGAAGTCTCGGCAGCCACCGCATTGAAGGGGTGAAGGTGTTGCACTCGCATCAGGGAGACCCAGGGGGACTTTGGATCTGCCACCCTCTCTTAGCCCAGTCTACTTCACAGGATTGTTGTTATGGGGGGGGAAGGAGGAGGGAGCATCGTCTGTGCCACCTTGAGCTCCAGGCAGAGTATACATGCAACAGATGAATACAATCTATATCAGTGTTTCTCAACCTTGGCAACTTTAAGATGGGTGGACTTCAACTCACTTCAACTTTGCTGGCTGGGGAATTCTGGGAGGTGAAGGCCACCTTTCTCAACCTTGGCAACTATAAGATGGGTGGACTTCAACTCACTTCAACTTTGCTGGCTGGGGAATTCTGGGAGGTGAAGGCCACCTTTCTCAACCTTGGCAACTATAAGATGGGTGGACTTCAACTCACTTCAACTTTGCTGGCTGGGGAATTCTGGGAGGTGAAGGCCACCTTTCTCAACCTTGGCAACTATAAGATGGGTGGACTTCAACTCACTTCAACTTTGCTGGCTGGGGAATTCTGGGAGTTGAAGTCCACCCATCTTATAGTTGCCAAGGTTGAGAAACGTGGCCTTCACCTCCCAGAATTCCCCAGCCAGCAAAGTTGAAGTGAGTTGAAGTCCACCCATCTTAAAGTTGCCAAGGTTGAGAAACACTGGTATAGATTGTAAAATATGGTTTGTGGCTTAGCCTAGCACAGCCAGTTGCCATTGATTCAATAAACCACAGTTAAAGAAGCCCTGACGTTGTCTGAATCCTGCCTCTGTGTTTTTGCTCTGCGATGCAGGAAGGGCACGGGAGCACAATCCGATGCCTGCTTTCCTTGGGGGCTGATTTACACGTGAAGGATGGGAAGAATCGAACGGGTAAGGCCGCCTTGCTAATGAGACCCTGGCAGACCACCAAACCTGGTCAATGGGATGGAGTGTGCACTCATGCCCGCTGTGCCCCCACAGCACCCCAAAGGTCCTACAACCCACAGGGGCAAGCGAGAGCATGCAAGGACCACAGAAGGGACATGCTCTGGAATTAGCGTTGGGTGAATGCAGAGCCTCCATCAGTAGAATCAGCTCCTGGCCAACCTTAGTTAGCAGATAAGCACACTTGGACTGGATTAGTCCTCCGATGGGAGACCACCAGGAAATGTCAGGGTTGTAGCTTAAGCTAGCGACTCAAAGCAGTTGCTGCCCACAGCATTCTGTTTCTTAGAGCAGTGTTTCTCAACCTCTGCAACTTTAATATAGGTGGACTTCAACTCCCAGAATTCCCCAGCCAGCATTTATTTATTTATTAAATTTATATGCCGCCCATCTCCCCCAGAGGGTGACTCTGGGTAGCTCGCAATTAAAATCAAGCATCAAAAACAGTAAAAAATAAAGAAATATCCACATTAAATTAGCTAAAAAAAAGTCATGCTATATAAAAAGGCAATATATATATATATGGCTGGCTGGGGAATTCTGGGAGTTGAAGTCCACCCATATTAAAGTTGTAGAGGTTGAGAAACACTGTCTTAGAGAGTGGGCAGCAGCTGGCTGACCTTGGACTTGGAAGCAAAGCAGGATTGGGCCTGGTGAACCAAGGGGAGGGGGAGGGAGGGGAGACCACTAGGAGATCTCAACTTTTGTAGGGTGGACTGTCAAGCAGGAAAAGTATCCCAGAATGCAAGGGTAAACTTCTGTAATCCTGCCAAGAAAATGGCATGAATGCCCTTACTCGACTCAATGACGTTTTTATCTAAATCTGGGGATTATAAAATAACAGGAAAGGCAGAACCTAGTGGGGAAATCTGAGCTGCAAAATTTACTCAATAAAACAGAAGTTCCATCAACCATGGCTTACCTCCTTGCATCAAGTTGCTCAGCAAATGTTAGAGGGTTGGCGTGGTGTTTGGACGGGGGGGGGGGTCTCAGGTTTGAGTCCTGCCCGGGCTGACTTGGTGCCAGTTTTGCTCTCCCTCCCAGCCCAACCTACTTTGCAGGACTGTTGTTGTGGTCAGGATAAAAAAGAAGGGAGGTTTTCATGCAAAACCCCTTTGCTCCTGGATGAAATAAATAATAAAGGAGGGATTGGGGGAAGTGTCTGTACAACAGCCCTTAAACCACAGACCATTTGTCCAAAGCACGGGAAAAGTTCAGGAAGAAATAAATAATAATTTATAAGCAAATAAATAATTTGCATCTGAAACCACTTAGGGCTTTTAAGGCAAAATGAATATTAATATGAATGAATATGAAATGTTGGTTATATAAGAACTGGATGGACTGAAGCCAGATGATGTGTCCATCCATTGGGCACAAAACCTTCACCCTTGCTCTCCTTTCTCTGTCCCACAGCATTGCACATGGCTTCTGCTGGACAACACACAACATGCGTGCATCTTCTCCTTCAGGCAGGGTTACAGGATTCTCCCGATGCTACTGGGACGCACGCCAGGCAGCTGGCAAAGAAGCCCGCCCTTGTCCGGCTCTTTGAGGAGATCAGTGCTGGTGCCTCAAACCAACTTTGTGGGAAGGAGCATTAAAAAGACCCCACATCTTTCCAACATTTGTTGTCTGGTGGGATTTGTGAGCAAAACCTTTGTAGCTGCTGTTTCCCAAAATGTTGTAGGAGGAGGGCTGTGTTAGTTGGTGTGGCCAAAAATCAGGAGTTTGGCAGGACTGTTTCCGAGGAGCAAATTTTATTCAAAGGCATAAGCAAAAGCGAATACAGTTTGCTCACCGGAAAAGGTCCTACCAGACTCTTTCTGATTTCTTTAAGAGCATTAAACCTGATGGAGCTGGCCAAAATGCTCATTCTGGAGTTTCCTGATTGTATGAATTGTCTGCCAGGGGAACAGACTGCCACATGAAGCGGGGGGATCTCCTTTGCTAGAGGGCTTCCAACTGAGGCTGGACGGTCATCTGATAGAGATGCTGTATGGATGCTGCCCGGAGCAAGGGTTGGACTAGGTGACCTTAAAATCCAACATTAAGATTTGATTAATCTTTTCCCAAAAGGCCCACTGAGGCAGGACTGGAGGGCAATAACGCCCTCATCGCCATGTTTCTCAGCAGTGGCATTCTGGGAGAGGTCTTTAACGCTGGAAGTCGCATCCAGACAGCCGTGCTTCATGGTTCCTCCATCACTCTGTGGCTCTGCTCACACACGCACCCTTTACAAGTCGCTCTGGCTCCAGTCACACAACAGGCTGGCTTGGAGTGAACGTGCTATTTGCATCCAGACTATATCATCTCTCGCCACAGATGTTCAAGCTACATCCTGTGGCAGCGAGTTCCGAAGTTAACGATGTGTGAAGAACGACTTCTTTACTACCCCCTCATTCAGCTGGACTGGCTGATCCCACTGCTTTCTCAACAGGGAGGAGAGAAAAAGAAATCTGCACATCACGCTAGGAGGCCAAGGACTATGCAAGCACAGAATCTCAGATCCCAAACTCACAGGCCGTCCTTCGCTCCTGTGAACAGAAATCTTTAGCAGCTGCTTTGCTGTTTTTTTAAACAGTCCAACAGAAAAATAACCCATCTGGCTTCCCTTCCAGCTTTTGCATCTTATCATGGCATTATAAACTAGGACAAGGGGTGGCAGTGGAGGAATGCGAGACAGCTGCCGTTTCGGGTGTCCAAAAGCTCTGCGCTGAAAATCAGAAGGGGGAACAAGCAAAAAAGGCTTTGCGAGAGAAGATGGTGAGATTCTTGCATCAGCTGAGGCCTTACCCGAACTCCACCCAAAGATATTTTGGCAGCTGGGTGAGGCTGGTCTTTTTATTCCTCAATTGGCCATTCATTTCCCCAGCTCGCTGAGCTGCACTGTGGCTCCGAAGGAGCTGGTGTTTCGAAAGAGGCCTATGGGCAGCCGGCACTGATGGTCAGATGGGAAGTCAGGATGGGAGTTGGCTGGCCTTGGAGGCCCAGCTGCAGGGAGAGGGTGGTTAGGATTATATTGCATTAAGCCATAAAAGGGAGTTTGTTTGACGCTGGGATCCTAGCCAGCGTGGCATAGCATATGGGAACCCGTGCAACGATGCTTTGTTCAACCATCCATGTCAGTGAGTCCTGCCCAGCGTAGAGACCTTGAAGTGGGAGGTCCTTGAAGTTAACACCAGATAAACAATCAAGCAGAAAACAACAGCCTAATCAAGGAACTACCCAGGAGAAAACCACACCCCCACCCACACTGGGAGGGGAAGCTACTGCTTATTCACAGGGAGCAAACCCCACACTCCTTTGCCCTGATGATGTTACCTAGTCGGGTCATGAAACGTCTGCAGGCAAACCGAGGACCCAGCCATGCGCTTGCATGCCGGTCCAAGCCCGGGTAAATGGGGAGGGTTGAGGAAAGGTCCAGCGACTTACCTGAAAATTTCATGGAAAGGCTCTCAAAGGATCTGGAGAGGGCTGGTCCATAGAATCGCTGAGAATCAGACACTATTGAATGGGTAGCGTCCTCATCCTCGTTCTTTCAAATGGGCAGAGGTTTGTCCCCCTTTCTTAAAATACTGGAATGCAGACCTACCCACCCACAGACACTCGCCAACGGGGGAAGCAATCCTTCACACAGTGGATCCCGAACAAATCTGGCCCTAAGACGGCTTCAAGACCAGACATCCATGGAAGAGCTATCGATAGAAGGTAAAGATGCTTCTTTACTGCAGTACGAGTCCTGTGAGATTGGCCAACAAACGCACCGTGGAAACGGGAGAAGACTTTTTTTGAAATGCAAATTAAACACTTTGAGGAAAGATAAAAGCTGTACAGGATGAAAGCGACACAAAATAATAAAGCTGAACTGCCATAATTCTTGAATAACGTGATTCTGTTGCCAGTTGGCCAGCTATTGGTCCTGTTTAAAGAGCAATCGTGGTTTAGCATGATGTGCAGATCAGGGTTCATATGTCGTGCCAAGCGACAAGCTGGCTCCCCCAACCCTTGTACCCATTCATACATAACTAGGGTTGACTCGATCCAATTTTCTGGGTCGACACTATGTAAGCTCACCATGTGAAATGACGTCACCAAGTTTGGATTTCATTCTATTTGGAAAAAATAGAGCCAATTTGGTATAGTGGCTAAGGTGCTGGACTAGAAACTGGAAGGCTGAAGTTTCATCCTCCCCTAAATATGGAAGCTGGTGACTTTGGGTCAGTGGCTCTCTCATGACCCAATCTACCTCACAGGGTTGTTGTGGGGAAAATAGGAGTTGCATAAAACAAAGGTGGGATACCAGAGGATAACTGCCTCGTTTAGTGACCATTCACAGTTACAACAGTGATGAAAAAGTAACTTTTCCTCGCACTTACGACCTTCACAGATCTGTAAAGCCAAGGAAAGCTAGTCAGGTCATAAGCAAAGTTGCGGGTTCACTTAGCAACCACTTTGTTAAACAACCAAGTGGCCGGTCCCAATTGTGGTTGCTAAATGAGGACCACCTTTAATAATAAAATTGTGTCCTCCTGGCCTTCATTTTTCCCTCAGTGGAAAAGAGGAAAAGGCCACAGCAGCATCAGGAGCGGCCCAAATCATGGCAAGCATCCAACGATGGCTGCATTCACACAACACATATGCCCACGGTGGACTAACCCAAGGTTGACTCAACTGGCTCAAGTTTCTGAGGGAAGCCATAAACGAACCATCCAAACTGGGATCACACAACACACTGGGTTAAAATAGAGCTTGTGGCTTGGTGGTTGTATGTTCACACCACGGTCTCCCTCAGGTCACTGCATACCAAGCCTTTTTAAGGTTAGCCCTGGTTGTTGTGGTTTTATTATTTTTACAGTTTGGTCTAGTGGTTAAGGCACTGGGCTAGAAACCGGGAGGCTGTGAGTTCTAGTCCTGCCTTAGGCCCAAAGCCAGCTGGGTGACCTTGGGCCAGTCCCTCCCTCTCAGCCCTAGGAAGGAGGCAATGGCAAACCACTTCCAAACAACCTTGCCAAGAAAGCTGCAGGGACTAATCCAGGCAGTCACCAGGAGCCAACAATGCAATGCTTAGCTAATGTTTCAGCACTGAGCAAAAAGTAAGATGAGGATTTGTGATGTCCCCTTGATTGTTTAATGTATTTATGGATAATTGTCCATAAATGCTTGTGGCAATGTTAGACGTGTATTGGCTGGGGAAATGATTCCATGTCCTCTTTGAGAGCCAGTTTGGTCTAGTGGTGAAGGCTCCAGGCTAGAAAGCAGGAGATCCTGAGTTCTAGTCCTGCCTTAGGCATGAAAGCCTAACTCTGGGCCAGTCCCTCTCTCTCAGCCCAACCCACCTCACAGGGTTGTCGTGGGGAAAATAGGAGGAAGGAGGAGGAGTAGGTATGTTAGCCGCCTTGAATTATTTATAAAAATAATAAAGGTGGGATAAAAAAATTTAAAAAATAGGGATTTGCTTTTGGGGCCATCCAGCCTGCTTGCTTAATTTATGGTTCAGTGGATTGTGCGAACACAGAAAATGGGTCACAAGGTAAGCATTAGGGCAAGCAAGCCACCGTTTAGAGCAGTGTTTCTCAAACTTGGCCACTTTTAAGATGTATGGACGGCTGGCTGGGGAATTCTGGGAGTTGAGGTCTACCCATCTTAAAGCTTGCTGGCTGGGGAGCCGAAGTCCATACATCTTGGAGTGGCCAAGTTTGAGAAACACTGATTTAGAGCTTATTACTCTGAAGGTGGTTCATTCAATAGACCACGGCGGAACCGACGCTCGGCTGAACGCTCTGCTTGGAAGGGAATCACGTGCTTCTCACTCGGAAGTGACTGCCGCCCCCCCCGTTCTTTCCCCGGGCAGAGGCGGGTCGGCGGGGGGG